CCCGCAACCAAGGTACATGGCCTGGACTGGAATCGAACCTGGGACCTTTCAGTCCACAGGCCGACGCTCTATCCATTGAGCCAAACCGGTTAGGGCGAGGACATATTTTATGGTACCTACAGCCTTCAAGGAGCCTCTGGTGCAAGAAGCAAAGTGCCTGGCAGCAGGTAGTGAGCAGGAGTGGGAGGGGCTGGACAGAGCTGGGCCTGAGCCCCAGACCTGCTGCCCCCCCATCCTCCCCAGCTTTGGCATGTTCTGCTTAAGGCCAGGCATCAGAATCAGATTTTCCCAGGGACCCATGTTTTTCACATTCCTCTCTTCATCTTTCTCCTCATATAGAAAAATACTAGAGGACCAATGCACCAATTCATGCACAGTGGGGTCTGGGAGGCCCGACCCCAATCTGGGCAAATCAGGGCTGGGCCTTTCGGGAGGAGGAGATGGCAAGAGGTTGGCCAGCTGGCCTGCCCAATCAGGGCCCAATCAGGGAAGGGCCAGCTAGGGGGAGGGGTGGCGGGTAATTGGCCAGTAGGCCTGGCACCCAATTAGAGTTGGTGGCTGATTGGCAGTGGGGCTGGCCATGGGGAGAGGCTGTGAGCAGTGGTCCAGCCAGCCCTGGCCCCAAATGGGATGGGGGATGCCGACCAGGAGCCAGTGGCCTGGAGAGGGGCCATGAGGGTTGGCCAGCAAAGCCCTGCCCCTGATTGGGTGAGGGGGGGGGAGTGCCGATCTGGTGTGGGGCTGGGTGGAGGTAGGGACTGCAGGTAGAGCAAAGTGTTGGGGGCCCATAAGGAGGGGGCTGGCTAGGGGAGGGGCTGTAGGAGGTTGGCCAGCCAGACTTGCCCCCAATTGGGTTTGGGGATGGTTTAAGGGCGGGGTGGAGGAGGGGGGGGCTGCAGGAGGATGGCCGGCCTGACCACCTCTCATTGCGGGAGGGGTGAGGAGAGGGCTGACCAGGGAGAGGGGCTGTGGGAAAATCAGGGCTGCAGGGCTGGAGCCAAGGCCTCAGCACCCCAGGGCCTCAGGGGATGAGAGTGTTAGAATCAAGAAGGGTACAGGCTTGGGAAGCTACAGCCCCCAAAATTTATCACCACAGAGACTGGGCATAGGGTGCAAGACAGCCTTTGAGAATGAGAAATGTCATTTACAAGTAACACAGACACATTAATAAATGTTTTTGTACATAAAAGAGAGTGGAGCATAGTCCTCACAAACCTGGGATTGGGATCAGGAAGACTTGGGCTGGAGTCCTAGCTCTAGCCCTACTGTGAGACTTGGGCTAACCCGAGTTCAGGTGAAAACCTAGACTTTATGATGGTTTCCTCCACGTCCCAATGGGAGCCACCATGGCGCCCAACCACGTGAAATGTGTGAGAGTATTTGATGAGGGAACTCGTAGGAGCCTGTGGTAGACACACCATCAATATTAGCTGAGTGATTAGTCAACACACATGTCCCCAACCTCAAGTCATTTCCAAAACATTCCTTCCCATCTTTCCTTCTGTGTCTGGTGTTACTGCTTCTTTGGTTTTATGACTCCTCAGCTGTGTGTTTCCTTGTCTGAGGATCTTCTCCTTCTGCCCCCACAGGACAACGGGACTGTCACTTGGCTTGGAGTGGGCGGGAGTGAGGCGAGTACCTTCTCTTAACTAGCAGCTGGCAGAGCCCAGCAGCCAGTAAACACAGTGGATTGAGTCCATCTTGGCACTTGTGGCCTTCCTTTCCTGAAGGAATCACAGAGACGGAGCCCCTCACTGGCTCACCTTCAACCCCACAATTTGTTTTCTCTTCCCCAAGGGTGAAGCATCACCTCCTTCCAGCTGGACACAGACTGGTGAGCTGAAGGGGAAACTCTGAGATCCCACTGCTGACACCATGACCTCAGAAGCTGACGGGATCTGCCCAGGTAGTCAGCTTCCTCCTCTCTATGTGGTTCCTGCGTATGATCTAGATTAAATGAGGCATCTCCAGGCTGGGTTAAGCTACACAGGAACCAAGAACCTCCAAGGGGATAGATGAGTGTCCCTGAGCCCCCATGAGGGACCAATGGGAGTCCCCTCAACCCGGAGTCTGTTGGGGGGCCTCCTTCCTGGCTCTCTCCTCAAACTGCTCACTGCCTCCCGTCCTCTGCAACTCATGCAATGTCTCCAAGGAGGCCAAGACAGCCCATGGGAGGTGAGAATTTCTGGTCCCCCGTACCTGGAACCTGCCAGTTCCTGGTGGAAACCTTTCCCTCCAAAGAATTGTCACCACCCACAGCTATGTGGGGGCCCTGACCTGTGCTTCCAATTATAAACACCTGCGTACCAGGTGTGACTGTCAGGCAGGAACTTCTTCTGTTGATCTCAGATACCCCTGTGGAGGTCCTCTTTGTTATTTCCCACACCCACCCACATCCTAGCCAACAAATACACAGATGCAGTGTTCTGGATTTCCTTCATCTAAACCCAAATTCCCTTTCTCCTTCAGTGGATGAAGCAAGAAAAGGAAAAAAAAAACAATCCTTCACCCACCCACATCAACATTGTGTTGCCTAGGCAACCAAGTAACACCCAGGAACTGGAGGGGGGAGAGCTGATACTGATTGATCACAGGATTAGAGCTGAGGCTCCAGCCCCCACCCACCTGAACACACCCCTCCACTGCCACCTTGGAGCACCTGTGAAAAGCAGGAGGAATCCTCTTTGCCTGGTAGTTTTACTCCATCAGTGATGTGTGGACTGAAACATTATTTTCAAATTTAAAAAAAAAAATCCCATAGGTGAACTATAGGGTAGAACGCAGAAATCACATGAGTTTTCAAACTATAAGGAGGCTTCAAACTAATGTAAGGAAATGCCTGAATGGTGACCTTGGATGCCCCCTTGAGCTTTCTGATTCTTGGCTTGGGCCTTCTTTTCCTGTCTGAGTTTCACTTTCTTTTCTGTGAAATAAGAATAATATGTTTTGTGTGTATATGGCAGGAAACACATTTAGAGCATGTCTCTGTACACACAAAACATACACCAGTTCCCAGTCCCTTATCTGAATTTCCAGAGTCTCCAAATCCCTGAGAGTCACACATTTTTTAAAAGATTTATAAAAGTTATTGACTTATACAGCGAGAGAGAGAGAGAGAGAGAGAGAGAGAGAGAGAAGTGGGGGAGGCAGAGAACTGGTGTCTCTCCCCCTTCTCATGAGGACACCTTTCATATTGGCTTAGGTCCCACACTTATGACATCATTTAACCCTAATTATAAAATACATCCTATGGGGCCTGGGCATTATGGCTCAGTGTTGACCCATGAACCAAGTGGTCACTGGTTTGATTCCCAGTCAGAGCACATGCCTGAGTTGCAGGCTCGATCTCCAGTAGTGGGCATGCAGGAGGCAATGGATTGATGCTTTTTTTCTTATCAATGTTTCCATCTCTATACTTCTCCTTTCCTCTCTCTCTAAAAAGCAATAAAACATTTAAAAAAATAAATAAGTACAGCCACATGGGTGTAAGGCCTGCACTATATAAATTGGGGGGACAGGTCAGTCCATAATAGCAGGTGATTCACCAAAAGTTCCCCAGATTTTTTTAAAAAGTCCCCCAGGTGATAGCTGCTCAGGAGGATGAACATTTAACCACCTTGTTTATACTCAATTCCATTTCCATTCTACCAGGATTTCTTCTAACCTTATTCTTTTTTCTTTCCATCTAGAGGGCAAAGTTTTTGTTGATGTCATTGAGTATTTAAATGACCCATGGAACAAAGAGAAAGTGCAGCGCCTGCTGAGTGATGAATCCTGGGAGAGATTTGTGGCTGCAGCCGAGCTGTCCAGGTAACCTCCAGGGGATGCCTGTATTGTTACCCATCTCCCCTGCATCTAGATCCCTCTGGCAGGCACACTCCTCAGGGCAGGGTCCTGAGTTTGGGGTGGAAGATGTTCCTTCTCAACAGTCAATGAGGAACATTTCCTTCATATCATTCGTTGGCAGAGAAGAGGTTTGGTTGAGAAGAGATGAGGCCTGCAGGGGAAGGTTACATGACGTGGGCCCGTTACTTAACCCTCTCTGTCTTAGTCATCTGTTCCATTTCATTGTGAGGAAAATAAAATAATGCGTGTGAACTGTTTAGCCTAATGACCGACACATGGTAGGTGGGCTGTTGACATGAACTTTAAAAAAGATGCTGGGAATAGACAGGGCCCAAGCGTCTTCCTGTTGGACCTGAGAGCCACACAGGACTTCCTGTGGGAGGAAGGGGGAGAGCTGGAGTGAAGCTGCACCATGTTGGGCTGAATCCTGACTCTATCTGGATTCTGGGGGTCTGGGCTTATGTCATCTCCCACTTAAATGGAATAGCAAGTCTGTCTGATGGGACTATGGTGAAGGCCTTGGGGTGAAGTGCAGGGTCAAGGGTGAGGAAGCAGGTGCAGTCATCCTGTCCTGAGGCCCAGACAGTCCTGGAGCAGGGTCAGTACCCAGTGTCTGGATGGAGCAAGGGTGGTCCAGGTGGGAGGATGGTAGGAAAGCTTGGCAGTGAGGCTGGGACTAGAGTGAGGCAGCTGAGATACCTGGCACAGGCCTGAGGAGGCCAGGGGCCTAGTGGAGGGCCATGCAGGAGTGTGGGGCGCGGACATTTGTTCCTTCCCTGACTTGATCCCCTCACTCCTGGGGGTAAAGGGCCTTTGATGATTATGTCCTCCAAAGCTGTCTGCCAGCTGGAGGGCTCCTGACCTCCCTGTGGGACCCTATTCTCTTCTCCATGGAGTAACCCTGACCAGAGGGAGGCAGTGTGGCTTAGTGACCACTTCCAGTGAGAATGGGGGCTGCCAATGTGGTGTAATATGAGGGCTTCTGGGTAGACGCACACGTTCCCACCATAGAGAACAGGGCTTCCTGCACCAGCTCATTCAATCAGGGGTCTCAGCTTTAGCGCTTCATACACCTGCCTTCATTAATCCCCTGTCCTTCATTATTACAGGGATGAGGCAGATGCACTCGATGCAGACTTGCGCCAGCTGGAAGCACTCATGGCTGTGGACGACAAAGACATGCCCTCAGAATGTCAGGGGCAGAGGGAGAGGTTTATGAAGCAGTTTCCTCAGGTGAAACAGGACCTTGAGGAATGCATAGGAAAGCTCTACGCACTTGCTGATGAGGTGGACAAGGTGCACAGGGACTGCACCATCACCCAAGTGGTGGTCTTCCACCGTGGCATTGTGTCTGGCATTCTGACCATCATTGGCCTGTCGCTGGCACCTGTGACTCACCCAAGTGGTGGCCTCTTCCACCGGCGCTGCATCTGGCATTCTGACCATCGCTGGCCTGGTTCTGGCACCATTCACAGCAGGGGCTAGTCTGCTGCTTTCGGCAACTGGGGCGGGACTGGGGATAGGAGCTGCTGTGACCGGTGTGACCACCAGTATCGTGGAAGCCTCAAAGAACGCATCAGCAACAGCCGAAGCCAGCCGCCTAGTGTCAACCGGCATTGACACAGAGAAGAGGGTCAGGGAGGGTCTAACCTCCAGCACAACCGAAGTTGTTTTATTACCAAGGAAGTGTTATCAATCCATGCAAGACATTGTGAATAATGCCCGTGCCTTCAAGGTGGCCAAGTCCAATCCTCTCTTAGCAGCCAAGGCCACACGCTTCTTGCGCACGGGGGCAGTCTCAGCCCAAAGCAGCAAGCAGGTGCAGAAAGCTTTTGGAGGCACTGCCCTGGCCATGAGCAAAGGAACCAGGATGTTTAATGCAGCCACGGCAGGTCTATCCCTTATTGTGGATGTAGTGAACCTAGTGAATGACTCAATGCACTTACATGAGGGCGCAAAGGCTGAGTCGGCGGAAGAGTTGAGGCAGCAGGCCCAGGAGCTGGAGAGGAGGTTGGAAGAACTCATCTGCATTCACGAAAGTCTACGGGAGGACCTGACTCTGTGATCCCCAGACAGTGCAGGGAGCAGGGTGTGTGGGAGACAAAGGCGTGGACTTACCTTGTTAGAGGGGAAATGCTGGCGAGATAAAATGGGTGGAACTGTGTGTTAAGGAGTTTGGTATTTCTATAGCTGAGCACAGCGAAGGGGGGGTTCCTGCAGATGGCAGGTGTGTCAAAGAGAAGGAAGGAACCTGGAGCCTGGAATCAGGGAATATAGGGGACAAGAGAGTGGGGGGTGGGAGGAACTTTATTTTGACTAAAAAAAGACATTGGGGTCATGAATAAAGTAAGAGAAGTGGAGGAATAAGCACCGAGAAGGCCCGAATTACTAAAAAGTTGACAATGGTAGAAGGTGAAAGAGTTTGAGTTGTTGGGATATGGGAGTTACAGTGGCTCCTTAATTGGCCCTCCCCAGGGTTCACCATCCCAGCAGGAACCCCGTCTCTCCCTGGTCCTGGTCTCTAGCCCTGCCTTCAGTTCAAGCTCGCCTTTGTCTTCCAGCAGTTCATCTTAGGTAGGCATAAAAAAACACATTTTTTTTAATTTTTCAATTACATTTGACATACTATATTATATTAGTTTTGGGTGTGCAATATAG